CTAATCAAGCGGCATCGACGTCAGCCAGCGGCTCTGGCAGCACCTCCGCCAGCGGCTCGGTGCTCTCCACCACGCTGCCAGTTGCGTCCTGCTCTGAGTTCTCCATCGCCTCGGCGGTTGCGCACGCGGACGACCTCGAGGGTGAATGGAAGCTTGACGGGGCGAGACAACAACAACAGTAGCAAACATGGAATGGACAGGGGGATAGGGAGGGCACGCGGGGCTGGGGGGGCAGAGTGCTTTGCTTTTGCTTCTTTGCGGAGGAGCCTCTCGCTTTGCTTGCCTCTTCTTGTCGCACCAACTTGGCACCCGACGTAGGCGGAGTCGCTGAAGTGGTGCGAGGGGACTACGCCTGGACGAAACACGCAGGGACAAACTATTACGCCAACATGTTTTTCCTTCTTCTCCGCCCCGCGCCGGGGGATTGTATTTGTCCTCTTTTTTTTTGTTGTTTTTTCTTCGTTCAAGAGGGACTTTAAGTTCTGCATCGTGGCAAGGTCAAGAAGCGTCCTCTCAGCGTGCGCGTGTTTTTGTGTGTGGCGATGGATTTGGATGGCGGCTTTCACCATGAGCGCGACGAGCAGATCGTCCCTAAGGTTCTCTGCTGCATGTGTGGTCTGCTGGTCGACAGCAACCCCAGCAACATGTGCCCCAGCTGCCTCCGCTCACACGTCGACATCACCGAGTCGCTGCAAAAGGAATACATCATCGTGTACTGCCCGGAGTGCGCCCGCTACCTGCAGCCTCCGCAGTATTGGAGCCACGCGGAACTGGAGAGCCGCGAGTTGCTCACCATCTGCCTAAAGCGCATTAAAGGGATGAGTCGAAACGTATTTAAGCTGGTGGATGCGGGCTTTATCTGGACGGAGCCGCACTCAAAGCGTCTCAAGGTGAAGCTCGTGCTGCAGAAGGAGGTGCTGAACAACATTGTCATTCAACAAGCCTGCGTCGTGGAGTACGTGGTGCTTTGGCAGCAGTGCCCAACCTGCCAAAAGGTGGCAACGGGGCAGCCGCAGTGGGATGCGTGTGTGCAGGCACGGCAAAAGGCCACACACAAGAAGACGTTCCTCTTTATTGAGCAACTCATACTGAAGCATAAACTGCATGAGAGTTTTGTCCGCGTCGAGTCTCAACCAGATGGTTTGGACTTCTTCTTTGCTCACAAGAGCCATGCAATGAACTTTTTGGAGTTTTTAAACCGTAATAGTCCGATAACGCGTCGTGACGCCGTGCAGCTGGTGTCGCACGACAGCAAGAATAACACAGCTGTGCAGCATCATACCTTTTCGGTAGAAATTGCCTCACTCTGCCGTGAGGACCTCCTCCTGCTTCCGTACCAAAACTACTACCTGAAACTTGGTGGGCTGGGCCCGCTGGTCATCGTGCACAAGGTCTACAGCAGTATTGTGTTGCTTGACCCTAAAACGTTGCGCGCGGGGGAGTTTACGGGGCAGTTCTACTGGAAGAAGCCTTTTTCCTCCATCATGAGCTCCCGCGAACTGACGGAGTTTTATGTTCTGGAGTGCACCCCAACCGGTGTCACAAACGGCCGCTACCAGCTCGGGATTGTGACCGTCTGCCTCTCCGCCGAGGTTGGCCAGGGGCGCGAGTGGATTGTGACCTCCCACCTCGGTGGAATGCTGCAGCCGGGCGACCTGGCGATGGGGTACCTGCTCGAGGGCAAGAACTTCAACAACGAGGAGTGGGACAGCCAACGGTACAAGCCGGAGCAGCTGCAGGACGTGGTGCTTGTGCGGAAGCACTTTCCCGCCCAAAAGGCGCGTCGCCACAGACGGGTGTGGAAGCTCAAGCACTTGGACGTAGTGGACCCGGTCTCCGTGGGACGCAACGCCAAGCGCCAGGAGGAACTCGAGGAGGAGCGGCGCGAGTTTGAGGACGAGCTTGAGCGTGACGCGGAGTTCCGTCGCGACGTGCCCATCTACAAGATGTCGGAGGCGGAGTTGGCGCAGCGTGCACCTGTGAGCGGCATCGGTGGCAGGGAGGCGGAAGACGAGGACGAAGCGGATAAGGAAGCGCCAGAGATCGCACTTGAGGAGATGCTGGACGAGCTTAGGATTGAGGACGACGCGCTGGATGCCGCGGACGACGGCGCCGAGGACGTGGATGCAGAGAACCCAAAGAAGAGACGACGGGCAGAGTAGGCGACGGGGAGGAGCGGGAGGGGCAAGAGCAGGGCTTGCAAATCGTGTGATTTGTTTGCGTTTCTCTTTCCATCACGTTCCGTTCCTTCCATTGTTTTTTTTTTTGCCCCGTTCCTTTTTTCTCGGTCTCTGCGAGTCTCCTTGTGTTTGTGGGAATGTGTGAGTTTCTTCATCCCCTCCACATTACTCAAGTCTCTTGGGATCCCATTCGTTGCACTTCTCTGCGTGCGACGGCGCCGCAGTATTAAAGAGAAAAATATAAAAAGAATAGTGAAGTTATGTTATGTTAAGCCTGCTTCATCATTTAAAATTTATGTGACTCGCACCGTCACAGGCACACGCACACACACACATTCTCTTTCTCTCTTTCTCTCTCAGCATCCCTGTGTGTGTGTGTGTGTGCATGCGTGCCT